CGTCACGGCTCGGCAGGGACCTGAGGCCTTGGGCAGGTTGCGGGTAGGAGAAACCAGAAACCTGCAGCTGTAAGGCGCTGAGCGAGGCACAGGGCGAAGTGCCTGCCGTGGGCCCGGGGCTGAGCCGCTGTCTGCCGGCACCGCGGCCGGAGGCCCTGCGGAACGGCCTGTGGTAAAGCTGGTGTTGCCGGAGAGCGCGTCTCGTTCCTCATTCTAGTTAACCTGGTCGCAGACTTCATTTCCTTATTCAGGTAAAGGCCTGACAACGTTAATAATCAAGCTTATTTGCATCCTGTTAACCTCAGCCTTTATGAAAGACCTCAGAGCGTGGTCTGTGCCTGCTGGCTTTCTCCATTCTGCCTATTCATGTGAGAGTGTTCTCACCGTTCTTCTTCAGCTTTAGTCCAGTTCTTTTCTCATTGTCAAGTTACCCTGACATCAAAAACAAAGGTGTAATACTCTGTACCCATTACGTGATCCAATCTTAATAGCGAGACTGTTGTGTCAGGACTGAATAATTGCTCTTCTGTCTGTTTGCTCATCAGCTTTTCCATGTCCACTTACACCCGATGCACCACATGATGTTTGCCGCTGACAACATTGTATATAATGAGTGGTAAATGATTCTCATCTTTTCCTTCCTAGAAGGACTGGTACTGAGTTAACATCTGAGCACATCTAGTTGTTGCTTTAAGAAAACTCAAAAAGCTGCCAGGATGTTTCTCCGATTACTGTCAGATGTCCGGTGGCGGGCAGCTAACCCAAAATGGAGAAGAATGACGTGCTCCCAGCGAAGTACCTCAAGTACAGCAGAACCTCACCCAATTTCCTTGCCAGCACAGGCGCAGGTTGTCATCTGTGGTGGTGGAATCATGGGCACCTCCGTGGCATATCACCTTTCCAAGATGGGTTGGAAGGATATAGTCTTACTTGAGCAGGGCAGGTAAGGATTTCTGGTAACAAAACAAAAGAAACAGGACTTCACGTGTAGCAGCATCTGCTGTGATACGTTATTTCTACCTCTTTGCCAGGATTTGTACCTATGGAATAAGCTTATACCAAACATTAGTAACAACACTTATTTCTTTTTCCCAAGCATAGGGCAGACCCACAAAGGGAATGGTATACCTTGTGTGACCGTGGTCGGTTAGCCTTGGTTAAAGGCCAGACTCCTGTACAGCCACTCACTTTCCCTCCTCAGCAAGACAGGGAGAAAGTAGGTTGAGGAATCTCACAGATCAAGATAAAACACATGGAGATTGCTTTCCAGTTACTGCCGTGGACAAAACAAACTTGCCTTTAGGGAGAATTACTTTAAAATAACTAAAGAATTACTTTATTTCATGCCAGTTGCAAAACAGCATTTCATGCCATGTGCAAACCAGCAAACATTAAAACCACCTTTCCCATACTCAACTCCACTCCTTCACTTCAGGTTCTTTCACCCCCCTTTCTCTGCCCCAAGAAACACAGGGGATGAGTAGTTGGGAGTGTGATCAGTGCTGAGCTCCAGTGTGGGTCCTCCGCAGGCTGCAGTTCCCATCAGGACAACTCTGCCCTGGCATGGGTTTTCCATAGACCACGGTTCCTTTGGAAGGTATCCATCTGCTCTGGCATAATCACAGCTAATCATGTAAAGCATAGCACAGCTGGTGAAGATGGACCATTTTAAGAAAACTAAAAATTTGCATAAATCATCCAGCCACTACTGACCACGTCTGGAAGTAGGATGTGATACATATATGAAGTATTACACCACTAGCAAAGCTCAGATATGGCAGGAGATTTGGAAGTTATAAGCAAACATCACTAAACCAGCATGCTGTAAGCTGGTAAAAGACTTGGGTTATCTGGTTTGGCTGTTGCAGGATTTCATGCCCATCTGTATAACAGCTAAAGCCATTACAGTTTGGCTGAGTACAAGTCTTTGTGTGCTCCTCGGTGAGTTGGATCAGCAGTCTGTGACAGAGTAGGTAGATCCTGTTGGAAGGTATGAGACACCGCTAAGATTTTGAAGAGATGTTTATTGCAGCAGTCCCCCTAACTAGGTGCTGGACTAAGAATCTTTTCCATCTAGCTTTGAGCTTCCCAACTGAATAATTAGCTGTGATTCTTTGACTTTGCATGACTGGATAGCAGGTAGCATCAGGTTCTTCATAGCTGCAAAGAGAGGAAATTGGGTAGTTGCATCTGAGATCTTGTGAGCAGTGTTCTTCCGAGTGAAATTAGGTGCTAGGCTTCGTTTGTAAGGGATTGTAATCTTTACTAGCTTAGAGTGCAGTATGAATACCCCATTACTGAACCTGTACCAGCTCAGTCTGTGTGCATGCTCAAGATAAAATAGAATATTGCATTAGCAGAAATGTCTTATGGTAAGCACAGCACTGTGAGACTGTGCTTCAGCTGTTTCAGTTGTCACTGAGAAGGGATGTAGCAAAAAGAATGCCTTACTCAACTGATTCTTTGCTTCAATTCCTGAGAGAATATGGACATGCTAAGCCAAAAGCAGCCTTGTCAAAGGCTTGCATAGGCAAGTGGAAAAAAGCAGAATTGCTTTAGCAGCAGAAAAGATGACTTGGAAATATTGTGGAAGCAGGTTGCAAGAGAGATGCTTAAATATAGTTGTCTTGTCTTCCCCTCTTTAGGCTGTAGGTAGTTTTTAATAGGTTTCTTCTCTACAGCAGCCCTTCATCAAATAGTTAGATGGACAGTGGCTTAAGGGCAGTGTAAAAAGGAACAAGAAGTATCTACGGAAGTTGCTGCACAGTAAGAGGGACTAGTTCTTACTGTAAACTGCAAAGATGCAACATTCAAATTGAAATTTATTTTCATTTGGGGGAAATCCTGCAACAGAGAAAGAAAGTATTAGGTTGGCAGGTTGACTTAAGCATAAGGTAATTTTTTTAAAGTGCTTTCTTTGAAAAATTTCAGTGGTTAGGACTAGTTAAAGAATAATTATTTTGGAGTACAATGTGTTTTCAAAAGTGAGCTAAAGGAAGAGCATTCTAGAGGTTGCATTATCCCTCCATTATCCACCTTACAGTTTTCGGTGTGATGTTTGGGGGAGAGTGGCTGTCTGGTTTGTGCTGTCAGCAGAGCTGCTGGAGCAGCCTGTTGGGGGGTGCTCGCCTCTCCACCTGTCAGCTGGATGAGGCCTTCACAATCTCCTCCAGGTTGGCTGCTGGTACCACTCGCTTCTGTGCTGGCATCGTGAGCACAGCCAGGCACGTGTCCATAGAGCTGAAGATGGCAGACTACTCAAACAAGCTCTACCAACAGCTGGAACAAGAGACAGGAGTAAAAACAGGTACTGAAAGTGTGATCTTTGATCTTTGGAAAACTGAATCAAAGTATTGCTGCTGAAATACGAAAGTAATTTTACACTGTCTTATGAGTGGTGGTTCCTGTTCAGAACCAATACATTTGGACAGAATCAGATACAAAGGAATGCTATCAGTGTATTCAGAAGAATGGGAAGAAGAATACCAGATGGGCAAACCAAAGGCAAACTACCTGGAAACTGTGACAATTTTTACATTGTCTGTAACTTGGGCAAATATAGGTGAATTTTCACAAGGACACCAAAAAGTATATTGCAGTACTGGAGCAAATGGCCCATTTCCTGCACTGATTCACTTCTCAAAAAGAGGAGGTTAACAGAAGCACGAAAGCATAGGCAAAGCAAGGTATCTTACTTAAGTCTCATCCTGGAAATAACAAGAAAACATTGTGTTAAAATTCTTTCTCTCCCTCCCAAATGCTCAGGCGTGTACCTGATAGGAAGAACTTGGTCACTGAAAGTTTTCTGCTGACAAGGTGGCCTTGTGGTATATGTCAACAACTCAGCAGAGTCTGTAATGTGCCTATAATTAAGATTAGTATTAATATGTTGCAGATGGTGGAATCACAAAGTGTCTGTGTTTAGTTGTTTAGGTTTTATTCTTCTGAGTAGTTAAATCACTTTTTTGCCAGTAACCTCTCTCTGTTCTAATAGCTATCACATGTGAAGTTTAGGGGTTTTTTTAAACATAAGTAAATGCAGTAGAAAGAACACAAAATCAAATAGCTTTTTTGAAAAGTTGGCTAATGCAGTTTTTAACTACTAAGTGATAAACATTTAAAACTATTTGGGGATCTGGGGTTTCTGGGCTCCTGATTAGTGGAAGTGACAGGTCTGCAATTATATTAAAGCAATGGGTCTGAGATTAAAAGGAATTCAAGATCCCGTCCAAATCTGACTTGACTTTGGTCATTGTCATAGGGTACATGAAGACAGGCTCTATTTCACTGGCTCAGACTCAGGATCGACTAATCTCTCTGAAACGCATTGCTTCATCGCTCAAGTACGTATAAGCAGGAAATAAAACTGATCTTAAGTTTGCACTAGCTATCCTGCAAGACTAATGACAGCATATTTCTTACGTTCTGTGGCAGTGTAATGGGGATACCTTGTGAAATTATCACCCCAAAGCAAGTGGCACAACTCCACCCACTGATCAACATCCATGACCTTGTGGGGGCCATGTATGTGCCAGAAGATGCGCTCGTGTCATCTGCCAATGTGAGTCTGGCTCTGGCAACCGCTGCCTCATGGAATGGTATGAGGTTTTCTTACCTATAGAGTGCTCTCCTGCATGATAGTTGTCTTCTGTCCATAAAAAAAAAAAAATAATAATTCTGCATCCCTTTTGGTATTGTAACTGAGCACCGAAGACCAAAATTTAGTTATTTCTGTAAGGTTCGGATTCTTTAAAACATTTTTCCTCAAAAAAACGACTGATCTTTTTTTACCATACTGAGTCTTCACAGATCTGTTGTGATAGATCAGGCACCAGTTTGTTGTCCTTACTGGTTATATGTTTCTCTTTTATCATAAACAGTTCTTCATAGGATCTGACTCAAAATTACACATCAAAAGTGTTTTAATTACCTACAAATGCAAAGGTGTGACTGAGTCTTTGTGGAATATTTCATTGGGCACATATGCTTTGAAAATGCATTTGGAAGTGTGGTAATAAATGCTGTTTGCCCAGCGCCTTGGCAAATTCGGAGTGGTCTAGAAGTGGGAGAAAGGTTAGATATGGTAACAGAGGTGAAACTCTTTAAGGATGAAAGTCCATCAGATTGTAAGAAGCTACTTAGGAAGATACGACTCTTAGTTGCTTTTAGTCCAGCTTTTTTTTGCATACTGTTAATTGATTTTTTTCACAAAATGACTGATTTCCTAAAAAAAGAACCAGTCTTGCCATCTGAAACTACAGACTTTCTTGCATAAAGAAATTGTAATGGAAAGAAATTCATAGTTGAGACTTTTTTTTTTCATGTTGTTAATACTAGAGTGTATTTATCACCCACATTGTCAGATGGGAAGAAGTACTGTAACTTCACACTCTCAGCCTTTAAATTATGTACAAATTGTATGCATGACATTTTACAAATAACAGGGTTTCACTTAAGAATTACTGGGTCAAAGATAGAAATTTTGTCTTAAAGAGAAAATAAGTGTTTAGGTTGAGTTTAATGGTTTATCATTAACAGCCTGACACAATAGAAGGAAGGCTGGTGGTACAGTCACTTTCTTGTGTCCTCTTCAGGTGTCCAGATTCATGAACGGACGAGTGTCAGTCATGTCTCAGTCCAGAAGGGTCGTGTGACTGGAGTTGAGACCGACAGAGGACAGATTCAATGCCAGTACTTTGTCAACTGTGCTGGCCAGGTTGAATTATTAAAATTTTTCTTTCATTTTTTCCTTTGGTTAAGAACATGTGCACTTTCCTTAGGGCTTTTTTTGTTTTCCTTTTTAAATTTTTTTTACAGTTTGTGCTTTGGCTTGGTTTACTAGAGTAGATCAAAGTCATGTTATTCAGCTTCTTGGACCAGCAGGGATGTGAAGGAGGAGAGTAGTGCTTGCTGTTTGTTTGACACCAAAGGCTGGATGATAACCTGCTGAGGAGCACCCTGCTGCTTGTTGGTACAGCTCTGCCCATGGTCTCTCGCCTCAGGGGTGCACCCTTCTGACAGGAAGAGTTTTGATTTGGCTTTTAGTAAGACAGTTAAGTCTGTCTACCATTCTCTCTTCCCCACCCCAAAAATTCCTTTTCTTCCTCCCCTTAGTGTCATGTCTTCTCTACTGTAAAAATACATCTGATAATTGATGTTTCTCAACTAGCAGCTGGCTATCTTGTTAGTATGGAGTCTTAGCGGTACAGGCATCTAAATCCTGACTATTTTGCTTCTTCTAGTGGCTGAGCCTAGTGTTTCTCTTTGGTGTACAGATCTTACTTTTGTATTGTAAGTTGATACTTCTTAGTCTTGAATCAGGGCCCCACTTTTGTAAATCTTCTGTGAAGGACAGAAAAACAGTCTTTATCCTAAACAATTCAGATTCTAAGAAAAGAGAAAAAAAAATCTGTGTCTTGTTTAAGGTTTAGGGTACTGAACCAAATCTTACTTGGTCTTTTATGAAAGCATCTTACAGAGGTGAGCTGTTCTTTTGTCCTGCCTTTTTTATTGGAGTTAGTTTTCTTCTTCTGCATTCTAACCAGCACTTTTTTTTTTATTTCAGTGGGCTTATGAGTTGGGCCACTCTGGGGAGGAACCAGTCAATATCCCACTGCATGCCTGTGAACACTTTTACCTCCTGACACATCCTTTGAAGGAACCTCTGCCAAGCAGCTTACCAAGTAAGGATTCTTCAGCTCTCCCTCACTTTTCTCAGTGAACTACATCTGCCTTTCCAAGGCAATGTGTAGTTTATGACAAAAAAGCCAACTAGGGCTCTCGGTTCTCAGCTCATTTGGGATTGTGAAGTACATTCCAGCTGAATTGCTCTGAATATCCTCTTTTGGTGGTAGAAGGAATCTCTTTCCTCACTCTTCAGAAGGCTTTTGCTGCAGAAATTGATTTTCAGAGTTTGTCAACTTAGCAGAAGAATGACCTTGACTCTAGCTTGACTAATAGGTGTGTCTGAGACTCTAGAGTGTTACATTTGTGGGCTGGAGAGGGTGCTAGCCTTGGCACTGTGTTTTCCTTGCAGGCTGCTGTCCCCAAATGGCCCATCTATTCCTTTCCTCCAACTGAAGCTAAGGCTTTACAATGGCATTTACATGTCTATGAGCTGTAGGGGCAACCAAACACTTGAGGTAATTGCTCCTCCCCCATGTTCTGGCTTTTGGATCTCTTAAAGAAAAGCCCTTGTGTTTGAAAACTGTGGTTGGGAAGTTGAGAGCTTTGCTTATTTTTTTAACTCTTAGCAAGAGTTTCTGCTTCTAGTGAGTAATGTATAGACTCTCCAGGGAATTCAGTCCCTGAATGCTCAATTTCCACTTGACTGGGTAATTTAATTTTATTTTTTTTTCACGCACACATATATATTCACAGCATTTCTGTACATGGAAAAAATTGCTATGGAACATGTCAGTGGAGTATCATAGATGCTTCAAGTTGACTCTGCTACTGGAAGAAGCAATCAGGCCTGACTGCTTGTCTTCACCCCAGTGCTGCCCACCTTTGTGCTGGTGGCCTGTAGCAAACTGGATCAGTGACACATCCCCATTAAAATTAACTGTCCTTAATGTAGGAAGAGAAGTGGGGAGGGGAAAACAGGACATCTCTTGGCGGAAGGTCTGGTCTTGGGTGCAGTTCCAGTGGAACTAAGCCAGTATAATAGCTCAGCAGTGCCACAAGGGATCTACCTCCCTTTTGTGTTCTCCCACGCCTGGTAACACTGTCTGCTGGCTTGGGTGCTCTTCAAGTTCAATTCAGTTTACTGTGCTGCCCAAAAGTTAACATGCATAGTTGTGGTGGGAGTTAACACTGGCTCACCAATGTGTCACGTGAGAACCAGGATGGTGTGGAAGTGTGGGGATGGGGGACTGAGACTGTCCCTTCTCTGTCAGGAGGTGACTAGCTTGACCCAGCCTGTCACCAGTCCCTATCGCTGGTGTTAGTGCAACAACAGCCATCCCTTCTCTCAATTCCCTTCCCACCTCTTTTCTTTCCTCTGCAGCTATTGTAGACCCAGATGGCAGGATCTACATACGCAACTGGCAAGGTGGCATCCTCTCAGGAGGCTTTGAGAAAAACCCCAAACCTCTCTTCACAGAGGGACGGAACCAGCTGGAGATTCAGAACCTTCAAGAAGACTGGGATCATTTTGGTATGTTAGGGAGGAAAGATTCCCACAGCAATGAAACACGTGGCTTCAGCAGAAGGCTGTCAACCAGCTAGTGTGTGTCTGCCTTTACCTGAAAGGTGTGGGAAAGATGAATATTCTCTCAAATTCATTCATCTCTTCGTTTGTCAGTAATTTGCATAAAACCCCTTTACTAAGGACTACATCAATACCTGCGTAGTGTTTAAAAATACACCCTGAGCATATATTAATTTCCTCCAGTGCAGCAAGGTACTACATAAACTTTCCAGTGCTGTTCTTCGATTTCATTTGATTTTTGACTGTCAGTGCCACATGCTGTGCTCTTCTTGTGATGCTGTAGATCAACACTGTTGACCTGCCATGTAGCCGTGGTATTTTGTTTCTGCAGCCCTCTTCAACTGTGTCTGCCAAGTGCATTTCCATCAGCAGTGGCTGCTTTGTGGACAGAACTTGGTATTGTTGCTTCCCAAACTTCATCCCACCATTGACAGCGCTGGTTTATTATATTCCAAATGTTCTGTCTTTCACATTTTATTTGATTCTACTTTTATATTCTATATGTATTTTTACATGGAGGGCTCTTTATGTAGGAAAGAACATAGAATGGTCTAGGGATTCCTTCCCCCCCTCTTTTATGCCTGGTAAGTTTGTGCATACCCTCTCAATTTTCAGATTTGCCTTTTATTCAGGGATCCAGTTTTCCCTTGTGTCAGAGCTCTTTGCATCCCTTGTGAATGTGCATGCCTCTGTATGTGTCTCTAGGCACAGGTGGATTTTCACTGATTTCTTTCTGCAGTGGTAGTACGTTCTTCCAGCTACTCCCCAGGTTAAACTGATTAATTTTACTTCTGTTTCTCTGAGGTGCCATATTGACACCATAAAAGTTTAAACTCCAGGGGGTGGAGCCAGGATGGGGTGCAGTTTTGTGCTGGCATATGCTAAAGTTTTTTAGATCTGTAGATGCCTACAGACTTGCTTGAAGAGAATAGCTTCACTAATGAGTTGCCTGAGCTCTGCACACACTTCCTTTTTTGGTTTTCTAGGTACTGCTGAAATGAGAACTCACTGCTTGCAGGCACCCACAAATTGCTCAAGTTTCAGAAGAAACTGCATGCAATGTTCCAGTAGTACCCTTTTGTCAGTTCAAACATACTGAACAGTTGAGCGGAGTCAGAGCTTACTCAGCCAATATTTGATCCTTTTTTAGGGTTGCAGTTCCTGCGGTTTGAGCTCTTACGTTACTGCTTTGATCTTTTTCGTTGGAACACCTTTTGATTTTAAAATAGCCTGTACAATTGCTTAAATGTTGGGCTGGGTATGAGAATAAATCTAACACTGATCCTTCTTTTTATTAATAAGGAAAAAGTCTGTAACTACAGGCTCTGACTCAGGAATTCTCATGCATGAGAGAGGAAAGGGAGCAGGTCAGAAAGACTGTTTCTGCTTGTACCTTCTTAGGTAATGTGAAGTCTGATTATTTTACTCTGTGTGTGTGAAGCTGAGGAGTGTTATTAGTGCTGAATCTTGAGGGCTTTTATCTGGAGTACTATGCAGAGGTAACTTCTGGACAAGAAAAACAAAGTAGATAGCTTGTTCCTTTATTAACATTCTCAAATATCAGACTGTGAAGAATTGCCGAGGGACCTTTCCAGCATGACTGGGCAATGAAGTGGCAACGAAATTCAATGAGGATAAATGTGAAGTGACGCAGGTGTGTGGGGGTGGTCTTATTTTCACCATACAAAATTGTGGGCTTTGAACTGACCTTGGGGTTGTGAAGACATCAGCTCAGCAGCAGTCAAAGCAAAAGACAAGTTGTGAATTATTAAGAAAGGAGTAGAAAACACAGTCATTATGCAACACTAAATCCTTGGCGTACTAGATACTAGGTGGGTTCTAGGCACCCTGTCTCCAGAGGGTACCATGTGACTGGAGAAGGCCTGGTGAAAGAGCAGCAGGAGTCTGATCAAAGCTCAGAACCTGTTTCCAAGCAAGGAATGACTGAGTGGGCGGGGAAAAAGATGACAGAAGGGAAATAAACAGAGGTCTATGAAATCTTGAATGAGATGGACAGGATAGATGGGGATCTGCTGCTCACTGTCTCTCCTGTTATGCCAACTGGAAGGCATCAAAAAAAGTTAGTTGAGTGTGAATTTCAAAACAAAAGAAGCTGATTCCTCATACCATAAATATTAAATGTGGAACTCCTTGTCAGCGTCTGCAGGATGTTTTCGTGAGTTTGGGGATGAGTGGTCAAGAAGAGAGATTAGTTTGGAGCCTACTAAATAGGGAAAGCATCAGGTTTTTAGGAAATTGTCTGAGCTGATGGTAAGCGGAAGCTGACAGAGTGTGTGGGACAAGCATCATAGAGATTTGCCTGTTCTTACTCCTCGCTAGGTATCTATTTGATGTCTTTTCCTATTGTTTTCCCTAACAAAAGTGAACACACTCTTGCACTGTTAAAAACAACACTGGGCTCTTGGTCTGGATTGGTATGGCTGCTTTTATGGTATGCTGTGTGATCCATTTTGTTTAGTTCCAGCAAGTGAATGGTTTATCCTGTGACTGTATTGAAACATGAAAATCGTTTCCATCTGTCGGACAGCAGCATGCCTCTGTCGGGCTGTCCAGTTTGAAGTAGCTGAAATGCATCGAGACCAAAGGCTATGACTTTTGTTTCTCTTGTGTCCTAGAGCCACTTCTGAGTGCCCTTCTGCGCAGGATGCCAGATCTGGAGGCTCTGCAAATCATGCAGTTGGTGAATTGCCCAGAGTCCTTCACACCAGATATGCGGTGCATCATGGGAGAGTCGCCCACCGTGCGGGGCTACTTTGTTCTGGCTGGCATGAACTCAGCTGGTATCTCATATGGTGGGGGAGCAGGCAAGTAAGTGGTTTATCACTCCTATGTGTGTAAGTAAGGTTTTAACCAAGAAAAGAGACTGCTCAGGTGATCCTTCTGTGTAGAATGTTCTGGTCAGTATTTGTCACCTTCTCTCTTTCATTTCCAACTTGAGTGAAGGAGCAGAGCAGTTGCCATGTTCTGATTATGTTCTCCTGTGTGTATTCCAAATCTGTGTTGGACTCTCGTCCTGTCCTGCATACCTTTCCTCAGGCATCTCAGTGATCAGCAGCCTGCTGTGGATCAAGTAAGCTTCCTTAGAGCTCACTGGTCTGATTTTTTTATCTACCAGGAAGAGATAAAAGCTTAGGAAAGCATATATTCCCTCCTCTTCTGTACTCCATGATCCCCTTTAATTTATTATTTGTTTTAAGTCCTTAAGATTATTCAAGTTGACCCAACAGCTCATTTCTCTGAAAACAGAGAGAATCTGATGTAGATGAAGCACCACATATGTGATGCCAGTGCTGCCAGTACTGTTAAAGACTGTCCTCTGCCAGTGAGCTAGGGATGGGATCATTTCCCAGTAAAATCCAGTTCCTATGTTAATGCAAATACTTTGACAGACGTATAAGTGTGATCCCAGCAGCAAAGTTGCTTACAAAGTGGCACTCCCTCTGATTGCCATTTGGTTTTGGCAACCCGACATCCCTTCTGCCCTACAGCCTTCTTAATGAGCTGCTCATTATTCATGGCAGGTGTTAGTGTCTGCACTTGTCTCCACTAGTTTCTGTCCATTGTCTAATAATTTAACTCACCAGGGAAGCAACTCATGATTGCTTTTCTTTGTCATATAAAATAGAATCTTTGCAGAGAGGTTCTCTAAGAATCAAAATAATTTCTGAAGGTAAAAGCACTATTTATCCATTTGTTGCTACAGCCTCAAGATAAGCAGCTTAGCTTGCTAATGTAACTTTTAATGATCAGTCTCAACCCCCTTTGTTTTTCTGTTTACTGACTGTGAACAGATCCTTCTGCTCTGCTTTGGTCTGAGCTGCCTTTGTCCTTTAGCTCTGGAGCATGCCTTCCTCCTTCACTGCTAGAAATGTAGCTAAACATAACATGGCTGGCACCTCGTGCTGAAATGAATGCTGTCACTGATGGTTTGTGGCTGAGCCTACACCAGGAACTGAAAAATGACAAAGCAGTCAGCCTCCTAACTCCAACTTAAATGTACGCAGCACCTCCTTCTGTAGCACAGCCCAAGGACTTGATCGTGTCAGCCAGGCTACCTGTCCAGACTCTGGCTTCATTTACCACGTGTCCTTAACTTCCTGCTGCCCTGTATGTTTCATCCTCATGGGAAATTAATAATTTGGAAATCTGGTGGATGGGTTTTATAAAGGGAAACCTTCCAGATTCTTCTAGTTTTGGGAATACCACGCTAGTTTTCTCTCTCTCTCCCTGCTGCCAGACCTTATGTCCAAATTGCCTTGCTTCTGACTTCAAAGCTAGATTCTCCTTTAAGACATTGGCTTATATCTCAATTTTCTTTACTTCTTCCATCAGGTACCTGGCGGAGTGGATGGTAAATGGGTATCCATCAGAAAATGTCTGGCCTCTGGATTTGAAACGTTTTGGTACCCTTCAGAGCAGTCGCACTTTCCTCCGTCACCGTGTGATGGAAGTAATGCGTAAGTGAGGTCTCTGCATTCAGTGCTGGCCAGGATGTCAAGGATTTTCCTCTTTGCTGCACCGTTTCTCATCTGTCATCACTCTGAGAACAATTTTCCTTCTTCCTGGCCTCCTTTTTGGCAATACAGCCTCTTCCCAGGAGAAAGGAAAGGATGGGAGGTTTTTTGTATCAGCAGTGCTCTTATTAGCTTTTCTTAAAGAAATGCTGTTGGTACCATGCTCTCTCCTATTTCTGTGCTTTGCCTCTGGTGTGGGGAAATTAGTGTGTATTGGTGTAGGACTCCAACCTAATAAAGCAATGCCAAGGTCTTAACTGGGAATATTACACTCTCTCAAACACTGCTATTCTTTGCATGTCATTACAGTGTGGAAATGCTGTCACTTCCAACTTATGAGTATGTGATCCAGTTATCTCACATCATTCAGGAAGTCTTCATAGACATATTCTGCTTTCTCCTGTCAAAGTTTGCAATAAATACCTTGCAGAATACATTTGAGGTGTCATTGCTCCTGTCTAAAGACATAATTAGTTTCCTCCTATTGTTTGATTATCTGTATTGAGGTAATGTGGACAACTTCTTTTCAGGTTTCAAATGGAAGGATGAAGTGATCCACAAGTTGCAAAACAGTAATAATTATTTGGATACTAAGTCTAAACTAAAAACATGTGTTTGTGTAAAAGCAGAGATTCAGAAGAATCCCTTTATACTCTTGGCATTATTCTGTGGTTGCTTTCCAATACAAATCTCAATTCTGATAGCTACAGAATCACTCTATTTTTTACAAGATGAGTTCCGTACGCAATTTCTGTAGTGTTATGTTCCCTTTCTAATCTATTTTTCCCTCTACCCTTGCTTTCAGGAGTACCAGTACCAGATAATGCCAATAAAAACATTAAATCCTTAGCTATGAGACAAAAACAATATAAGCATTCACTAAGAAATATTCAGCTTACCTTCAATTTTAAGCAGTTTATGACCTACGTAGAAACGTAACATTTATAAAGAAGTATTCAATTCCTTGAGTTACTGCTCCCCCCTGATAACCAGGGAGGATGCTAAACATTTATTAGGGTAACTTGTTTACTAAATAGGAATAGTCTGTATTTGCTGAAAAAGCATAGGAGCCATTTGGAAAAGCTTCAATAATCAGAAAAAGCTGAACTGCCAATATTTAAGAAGCTGAATTAGATGATTCTTGTAGCTGTGGGCTGCCTACCCCAGCATTAGTATTGTCAGAATGATAAGTGTCTGATATAGCATGCTGTCAGGGAAGAATAATGCATAATTAATGCTAGTCAACATGACTTCATGAAAAATAAGGAGTTTTTGTTATCTTGACAGTATTGTCATGAGACCATAAGTATCTACAAATGTAAGTGTTCTGTGTAAATATTGTTACTCTGATTCTGAATAGCTATAAACAGATCAAAACAGATTTGTCAGTTTTCAAAAACAGAAAAAGAAGGTCAGAACTGTTTTGAAGGAACGTTATTAATAGTTCACTTATTAGTAAGTATTGATAATCTGGAAGAAAATGTTAGATAATCACTTTGCCTAGTAATGGATCTTTGTGACCATTGCAGCCCTCATGTGTGATCTGAAAGTTCCCCGCTGGGACTTCCAGACTGGCAGGCAGCTGCGTACTTCACCGTTGTACGACCGTCTGGATGCACAGGGAGCTAGGTGGATGGAGAAGCATGGATTTGAGAGAGTCAAGTATTTTGTCCCACCTGGGAAAGGTGAGATTGTATTTTCCTCTGCCTAGTTCATCCCTGTTGGTCTGTGTAAAATCTTTAGTTCATCCAATTTATGAATTGTCACTTTGGTTCTTCTTTACATTAGATCTGCTGGATTTGGATCAGAGCAAAACCTTTTACAAACCAGACTGGTTTGATATTGTGGGTTCCGAAGTCAAATGCTGTAAGGAAGCAGTTTGTGTCATTGACATGTCATCTTTTACCAAGTTTGAAATAAGCGTAAGTACTTGGGAGCTGACAAAGCTTCAGCTTGCTAAAGGTTGCCTTTAGTTTATTATTGACTGCTTTTGCAAATTTCTGTGTGTCCTATTGAGGCTAGATAGAGGAAGTCAAGCTATGTGACCAAATTCAGGTTATACCATAATGTTTAGCACAGATGGCTTTTTGTCTGTCAAAGGCCCAGTTTATAGAAATACCAGCTTGGTCTGTAAATGGAATTTGACCTCTGGCACTATGTCACCATTGTGTCGTATCACGCTCAAGACATCAGTGTCACTATCATTACAAATTGAAAGAATTTGAGCTGGGACATTGATGCGATCTTAAACTGCCCCAGTGGATTTGTGTTGCTCAGACAGCTTGTCTGACTTGCTCTCTCTTTCAATTCATGTAGTCCACAGGAGACCAGGCCCTGGAGAGTCTGCAGTATCTCTTCTCAAATGACCTGGATGTGCCAGTCGGGCATGTTGTGCATACGGGCATGCTTAATGAGAAAGGAGGTTATGAGAATGACTGTAGCATAGCACGGCTGAGCAAACGCAGGTAGGTATGCAGACAGCATCTTTGTCCCTCACCCTTTGGGTGTTAGAGCCTTTAAGAATCTCTTCTTGTAGATCATAAACCTTTTCCCCCTCTGTAAAGAAGAAAAGAAGTCTCGATTCTTCACTTAGGTTCCTAATTCAGTAACCCAAATGAGAATGAGCTCCTGAATTTACCAGTATTGGGCAAAATACTCCTTTTTCTGGGACTACAGAGGAACATAGGTTCCTACAAAATGTTGGGCCTTCAGATGTTTAATTTCTCAACTGAAAGACAAATTGTTTTCAGCAGTCATTAGAGTTCATTAATTTAGGTCGTCATTTAAAGCACAAACCAAATGGTTCCTCATTGGTTCCTGGCCAGTCTCCTCACTGGAACTGTATGCTCAAAATACTACTTTCTGATGATTTTAACTTTCATTGCAGTATGGGTACCTAATTCTCAGCTCTGCAGTCTCATGATTCTTTTTTGTACTCTCTGATGCAAACTGATGTGGTAACAGGATCTTATCCTTAGACTCAGTAGTTTGGGCTCTCTCTTATTTTTAAAAACTTCTTCATGGACGTGTCCCAGCTGAATGTTGGTTTTATTTCTCTGGACCATTTTCTATGCATGGGTTCATTGTATTGGTGTGAAAGCATTCTTCTTTCCTGCTCTTTCAATTGGAAACAGCTTTTCTTTCTCTTCCTCTTCTGTCTACATTCATGTATTGCTTAAAAGTATTGTCCTTCTCTGTGTGAAACCAGTAGCTTTCCTCCTTGCCTAGTCATTTCTGCAGATGTTATCTCTGTCAATAATGTACTTTAACTTGCAGTTTGCATGAAAGAGACTTACACAACAAGTAGCTCATTTTCACATATCAAATGGAGTTCTGTTTTTGGAAACTGTTAATAATAACCGCCATTGTGTGTGAAAAGACTTCTGCTGAAACAAGAAATTGCTGTGTGAACCATGCACTCTTGTGACTGTCAGAGCAGACAATCGCTGGTCATGAAGAGCTGTGAAAGCCTTCTGCAAAATGATTGTGACTTTTGAGATACCCTGTGAACTTTCTGTAGAACTGCCTGTGTTCCACTTGTAGTCACTTCTTGTCACCAGACTACTGCTAATGCTTGAAGGCTGGGATTTCTTGTCCTGACAGATGTGGTGGCATTGATCCAGAGACTTTAGCTGTGGTTTTTGCAAACCAGCTTGTTTTGGTCTCCTGTTAGCTTGGAAGCTGCTGAATGGCTCCAGTAGTTTGGAGACAAATAATGCACTGGCTTATCTTGTGGCTGTCCATTCATTGTTTCTTGGTTTCATTTCGTCTGTTCCAGCTTCTTCATGATTTCCCCTACTGACCAGCAAGTCCATTGCTGGGCCTGGCTGAAGAACCGCTTACCTGATGACAGCAACGTGACCATGGAAGATGTGACCTGGAAGTACACTGGTAAGAATTCACTGAAAGCAGACCTCCTTATACAGCCTGAAACCACAAACGTGTCCTGTGCTGCATGCCAATTAATTGTTTGAAGTGCCTAGAAGTGGTGACTGGGTCTCCTTCCCAAACAGTTGGATGAAAACAGCAATTCAGAGACTTCTTTCTAACAAGAAAGCTGGTAGACTTTCTTTCCCGTGGAGTGTCAGGAGAGGGATTTTAATGACTTTTCTCTGTTCATAAACATACCTGTTAGTTCAATAAACACTGAGACTGTAGAAACTGGGGCATGCATGTATGCAAGTTAGACGCTGGGTAAGACTCCTCCAGTCTCATCCTAATACTGTTATCTTCCCCTCTTCAGCTCTCAATCTCATTGGCCCCCGTGCTGTGGATGTCTTGTCAGAGTTGTCATATGCCCCGATAACTCCAGAGCACTTTCCCTCTCTCTTTTGCAAGGTGAGTGACTGTGCTTCCTTCCTCCTCACCCTGCTAGGTTTTTGAAGGCATGTGTGAAAGGAGGGGAAGAATTATGTTAGAGGGGGATTTAGATTTACATAGAGGTTTACTGCAGTTACTGAGCTCGGTTAGTAATGAGTCCACTAGGCTCACTTTTAACTACTTCTGTTTGGGTTCTGCTTGCTAAATATATAGGTGAGTATGCATTTGTTTTCAATATTCCACTCACTGTAGGCTTGGTGCCATTTGATATCTTGGTATACTTCATATAATCGGTTATGAAGCTGTCCAAGGGGCAGGTGGGATTAGTGACTTGGGAGTCATTGTCTCTGTCACGTTAAAAGGCCAAGTAGATAACTGCGCTTCAACTTCTGTCTTGTGTCCAGAATACAAGTCTGTGTCCTGACCTAGTTCCGAGGCTTATTGCCAAGTGTCACAAAGTGATTAAGAAGTCTGGATAATGTGAGATCACTAGTTGAATTTTTAATTTAAATTCTCTGTAAGTATGTGCTGGTGGTGAACTGCAGGAAGGAAAGGGAAGAGAGGGCTGGCCAGTGTAGTTTGCATTACGCATTGTGGTCCTTCTGGATCTCTGTGCTGTGTTCCAGTTTGGATGATTTCACCCCCTCTGATTCTGCAGGAGATGAGCGTGGGCTATGCTAATGGAATTCGTGTGATGAGTATCACTCACACTGGAGAACCTGGATTCATGCTTTATATCCCCATAGAGGTAAGAGTACACTGTAGCCTTAGCTAATTAAAACAGTTGCTTGCATGCATAATCAGAAACACTTTCCGAGCTGAAATGTCTGGTTTGTACCATGAGAAAGCTGCCTGCAGGCACCGGGAGCAGTTTCCCTGCTTTGTATTGCATTCCAGTCAGGCACAACTCTTGTGCTCCAGTGGCAGGGCACGGTCAGCTGCTGTTGCTCTCTCATCTGCAGCTCTGTGTTTCACCTCTGCTTTGCAGTACGCCCTTCATGTGTACAACGAGGTGATGAACATGGGACAGAAGTATGGGATTCGGAATGCCGGTTATTACGCGCTTCGCAGTCTGCGCATTGAGAAGTTCTTTGCATTCTGGGGCCAGGATCTGGATGCTTTTACCACTCCTATGGAGTGTGGACGCGAGTTCCAGGTCAAACTGGAAAAGGTATGGTGGAAAACTGAAATCACCTCCTGCAGCAGGGGTGGCTGGGAGAGCAGTACTGAACGAAAAGCCAAGGGACATGGGAGGGCTGATGGAGCTGTGTGCAGTGCAGAACTATAACCTATATTCTTGTACTTCATAAAGGTACTAGAAATAGCAAAAATATTTGTCTTCCTCCCTCCTGGGCAGCATTCCCAGTGATTTGTGTAGCATGCAGAGTTGCTCATGTGTGCAATACTCAGCATAGTGAGGGTGCTGTGTACCTCACAGATGCTCAGAGTTTGTGTTTCTCCCAGCTGTTTTCCCAGTCTGATGAAGCAAAATCCAGCCTGTGCACCAAGTGGCATTTAATGAAGTTAAATATGAGGATAGGTGCCATGAACGGGTGTTCTCTGTTTTTATTACAATGGGAGTTCTCTATTTTTATGAGAACCGTGTAGAGGTGTATCCTGCATGTTGTGGTGGCAGGTGCCATCTCTTTCACTTGCTTGTTACCTTCTTTCTCGCATCTTTGCATGAGCTAAAAGAAATGCTTGTATCAAATCATTCAGAGAAGGGAATGTAGTGGTTAGGGACACCAATTTTATATGTTAACATCTATAATTTTTTAATATAAAACATGTATTTATAAAACATATATATGTTTTATATGTTTCCCTCTGGTTTATAAAACATGAGAGACTTCTGGAACCAGAAAAATGGCAAAAAGTAGAATTGTGACATGTTTTCACTGCAGTGAAAATTAGAATGAATTTTTTAAAGGCCCACTTCACAAGTATTTTTGACATCTGGAACAACAAATATGACAGGAAAGCTTCTGTCTGAGCTGAGTTTCTTGCCTATAGAAGCAGCCTGACTTGGTAGTGCATGGATTTCAAGTGCAAACTCACCTTGTGTCAGGAAGATTGCCTGCTAAAACTCAGCAGCTGCCGCAAGTCCTGTTCCTTCCATCAGCTGACACTTCCTTTTCTCCCCAGGGAATGCAGTTTGTGGGCCAGGAAGCGCTGTTGGAACAGAAGCAGAATGGTGTGTACAAGCGCTTCACCATGTTCATTCTCGAGGACCATGACACAGATGCAGATCTCTGGCCATGGTGGGGGGAGCCCATTTTCCGCAACGGCCGCTACGTGGGCAAGACCACCAGCAGCGCCTACAGCTACACTCTGGAGCGCCATGTCTGCCTCGGCTTCGTGCAGCACTTTGATGAGAAGACGGGAGAAGAGCTGGTTGTGACAACTGACTTCATCAACCAGGGCGAGTATGAGATCGACATCGCTGGGCAGCGCTTCCAGGCCAAAGCCAAGCTCTACCCCTTGAGTTCCCTCTTCACGCACCGTCGCCGCAAGGATGAGGTGGAACTGAGTGGCTACCAGAGGGAGTAGTGCTGACTAGATCTGACCCACTCCTCTTCCCAAGCTGGAGTCTTCTCCTACCATCTTCCAGTTCTTTCTACTCACCCCATAGATTTCTTTTTTTTTTTTTTTTATTTTTTTTTTTTTTTTTTTTTTTTTTTGTCTTGCAACTTTTAAACTTTTTTCCAGTGTGTTACATTTTGTATATTTTAAAACTGTCATTTTCAAGCTTTCCAGATCCTGTTTGTCTGCCTCCTTTGCTTGCCAGGCTCCCCCATGCCCAGTGGATGAGGCACAGTGCTGAGCATGCGTCCAGGAGTCCACGGGAAGCCTGTACAGGAGTGAACCCCAGCAGAGGCCCTAGCCTAGGGAAGGGTTGGGGTAAACCCCTGAGGACTGCACCCTCCCTCTCTCCTCTCCAGCATAAAGCACAGGACAACAGGCATTTTCTGCCTGTCGTTCAGTTAACGCTGTGACTTCACCCTGCTCTCCGCCTACCACGTTGTCGAGGGGTCGGTGCGTCGATGCACACAGCAATAGGACGATCAGCTACCTCACTGGCATGAGACGTAGTGTTGTGTGAGCAGCAGCCAAGAGACAGGTTTTGGTATAGTCCAGCCTGTCTCTGCCCCCCTTCGTCCACCTTTTTTTTTTTTCCCTAACAGGGAGTCAAGTAGATTTAATCATCCGATCATTGAGGTGACAGTAGTGCTGGTAAGTTTTCTGTTGTTATTGGGATTGGATTTTTTGCGTGGGGTCACTGAAACTAAATGGCCTTCTATAAATATAACAAGATCAACATGTGTGTTTCACTTCTATAAAGGTATGAGATTTTTGGGTTTTTATTAGCAAAACCACTGATTTCTAACAAGGACAGATGTTAGTGTTTCATGTTCTTAGCAGTGTTGAAATGCTGCTTCTGTTTAAGCTGTACAATCTCTTTAGGGATTTTCTTTCACTTTCCTTTGTTTCTGTGACTTGGTCAAGCTCATGTGGCAAGGTTCATGTAAAACTTTTGTTGGTTTGGGGAACTTGAGCAGCAGGAGGGGACAACACCTTCTGTTTTTAGCTGCCTGTGGTTATTTTGAAATTAGAGGAAAAGATGCAGTATTTTTCTCACCAGTGGTGCTGGCAGTAGTGCTGAAAAAATACTGGGTTTTCTTCTGGTGGTGAGAAGGCATCTCAGCAGCTCCTGCTGAACTCAAGAAGTTGTCTTTTGTTTTTCTCCTCAAATCTGTTGCACTTCTTGCTTCTCTCTCAGTAGTACCTCAGCTGAAGGGATTGAATAGAGGGAGTGAAGGGAGTGTGGCAGTGGAATTATACATCACTTTATTTCAGCAGAGCACTTTACATCATGCTCCTCATACACAAGCTTCAGACAGTGCAGCTGGGATTCACCCCTTCTTCATGTGTCAGAACGTGCTGATTCTAATACTGATGGTAAATGGTAAAGAAGTGGGGGGATGCTGAATTGTACTGCACATGTTTACATCTTCTTTTTCTTCCCATTGTGAGCACAATCAGAAGCAAAGATTGTCTTCATTTACTTGAAAAATACCTGTTAAATGTTTTCCCTGACTCTGACACCCACAGACTCATCATTGTCTTTCTGCTCCAGCATCTTTCTGTCTGGAGTTCAAACACACCCTTGCACTGATGTCTGCCCTGTCAGCCACGATGAACACTTTCCCTATGATCTAGAACTTTTTTTGGGCACTTTCTTTTCCAGTTAAATGGTGAGCGTCAGTAGTATAAATATGAACTCAAAACCTTGCCTGGTTCTTGTTTTTAGTTTGCTTTCTGCTGCGTTAGTTGCTTCAGGTCATGCCTTACATTGAGTCCATGGTCTGCAAGTTCATGGTTCAGTTGTTCTCAGCATGCAAAAGGAGTTGGATGTCCCTAAGGCAGGAAAGGTGAAAGTCTAAAACCTTCACACCTTAAAACAGGTTGGCAGAGCAAGCTCCCCCATCCAGAGTGATACAGAAGCTGTTGAAACCTTGGAGTGAGAGTCAGGAAAGGGTGTAAGAGGATTAAGGATTTGAGCGTGTGATGTAGTAGGTTGAACATATATGCTGCTTCTTTGAGTATGCTCTCCTTTGTGAATGGTGAATTTGTAGTGTGTGATCTCTTCAAGGATTTCAAGCCTACATTCAAATTGACATGCAAAAATTCTCCAGTCTCTGAAATGTAGTGACCATGGCTTTTTGGGATCTCACAGCTGAGATTAGCGTGCATGACTCTTGAAGGCGGAGATTGTAATTTATTCCAAGTTCCCCTATTACTGCTCTCTGAATTAAAATTTTGTCTGGTGTGTCAGGATTAATTGCCTCAATGAAAGGTTCATAAAGCATCTAATAGCAGTTTAAAATCCATTCGCTTCTTGCATAGAGAGGCACTGCAGTCCCACTGTTCCCGTGCTGGATGGGGGTACTGAGGAGCACCTCTGCTTTACCAGCCTGCCTCCTTGGAACAGTGCATCAGGTCACTTAGAAATACTTGTCCATCCTCTCGTCTCTCCATTGGTTTTATAGGACATTGCTGTCCCTTCCTTATCTAGGGAAGCAGGTGTTCAACCAAACAGAGAGTTTTATACGTGATACTTAGAATGTTTCTTAGAGCAGCCCTTCTTATTAGAGTTTATTGACCATTTGTTGTTGCTGGTGAGACATGATACTTGTCTGGGAGAACACAAAGTATCATTTAAGTTGCAGCTAGATTATATTCCTCCTTGTGATTGTTTTTTCTTTTCCCTAATTTATAGGTGCCTGTTAGTTCCTCAGACTGATATGGGTGTCTTTTCCCACAGCAGTTCTGACAACGAAATTGTGTTTTATGAGCTTTTTTTGTCATTATGTCTGCTTAGGTTTATTTCATGTCTAGATTTATTGACTTTTCAATAGCAAAAATAGACAATGAAAATAATTTTCCATCATGCCTATAGATACAGCAACACTTTCTGTAATGTGTTTGCTGTTTGAGACTTAGAAATAGGTGGTTTCATAATTGTCAGTCTTGCAGCTCATTAACGCCTACTCTGGCTTTCCCTGCTATGAATTCTGATTCTTATTTTGTATCCCAACCTATAGTCTTCTGCTGCTGTTCAAGCTTTAATTTTTGGCAGCTATTTTTAACCTTATAATGTTAAAGAATAGTTTGCCTTCACCAGCTTGATTACCCATCAAGGGGACAATTAGATAGTGTGTTTTAAGATAGTGCTCGATACTGAGATGGAGGAAGGTCCTTCTAGTGTCATGTTTTCATCCAGAGGTATTAAAGGGTGATGTAAGACTAATCCCTTTATCTGATGACTAAAAGTAGAGTGTCTAAAAAAAGAAGAACAAAATCTGTTAAAGAATTTAAGCCTTCAAATTAGATAATTAGAAATCGGATCTTGAAAGCTGCTATGACACAGTCTTAGCATCTAAGATGCTAAATAATGTGGACTGTAAAATTATACATGATTCTCATCCTTAAAACTGCCTTAAAATGCTTTCTTCTGAGAAAGACAGTTTGTTGCCATTCTGTATGGTAAGACTATGAACCTTGGGTGGGAAATACTGCAATAGCATCCCCCTCCTCTGCAGGGGAAGGGATAATGGCCTTAGCCATTAGCAGGTCTGCCCCAGGCACCTCCTGCAGGGGTGTCAGCAGTTCTCTGAGTCTTGTTGTCCAGAATGGGAACAGCCCTGTAGATTTTTATTCATGTAGGCAATTTTGCAAGAGAAACACTTGAAGGGAAGCTAACTGGAGTTTAGTATGAGGAAATAATTTATCTTTTTGGCTGAAATACGATACGTTGAGCATAACCTATTTTAGGATAAAACCCATCAGTGACAAGTGTTGAGGAAAGAGTGACCCGTGGGGAGATAGGCCACAGTGGGTGGGTGGCATGTGCTTGGCACATGTAGGCTTGTTTTTTCTTACCCCAGAAAGCAACAAACATCTGAGTGGGTTTGCTGATGGGGTGGCAGTGAATCCATCTACGTGTACAACATTCCTGTATGCTGGGAAGGGCTTGCTTGCCCAAGTGTCATCTGTAGAGTAGTGGGGGGAACTTCTGGAAGAGGTAGCACTTACTGGGTAGCCTCTTCCATTGAAAGATTTCTCCAGAGGTATTTGTGTTGTCTTACCCTTGTTGCATCCTCTTCTAAATTCTGTTAGTCCTTCAGTGAATGCTGAAAGGCTTGAGTAAAGATGATATTAGAGGGACTTTATTGTTCATATTTAACAATCTAAGGATAAAATCAGACTACCTAAGAATGATGATTTCTGTTTCAGGAGGGTGCATTAACAGTGATTTTTTCCATCTGTTTTTGCCAGCCTTAGTTTCTTCTTGTTTTCTCTGTGCTGACTCCAGTGTCCAGATTTGATGTGCCTTGTTGGACAGTTTCTTCTTACTATTTTGTGGCAGGGAGGGGAGGCTGTGTGAAACTTCCTCTACATCTCCATGTCTCGGTGTGAGCTTGGATTCCTCCTTTCTACTGTTCCATTTGAGCTGCCACTGATCATGTTGCTGTTCCTGCAACGCCTCCAAACTCCAGCCTGTGCTGCTGTAGGACTTCTTGTGCACAAGGGTTCTTCTCTTCATTCTACCGGGTGCTTCATAGTCAGAGCCAGGTTGGCTCTAGATCTGTGTCTCTTCATTGGTTTAAGCTCTTCAGCTTTCAGATGGTGCAGATACCAACATCTGAACTTCCAGATGGGATTTTGTCCACTGTATATTCTGTCGTTTAACCCTCTCTTTCCTCCCTCAATGTAGGAATTAGTTCCTTTTGCCTGTCAGAGAGTGAGGTGTGGTAAAATAAAAACAGGCAAGGGGATGGTGGAGTGGCCAAGCTGAGGTGGAAGAAGCGTGTTTGAGGTTTGATCCTTGGCCTATTACTCAACCACTTAAGCCCAGCCTTGGGGAGATGATAAGGCCTGATTCCCAGCTCAGCCTTAGTGCTGGACAAGCACTGAGTGATAGCAATGGCTCTGGGCAGAATTAGGACAGCGTTATGGAGGAAGTGAGAGCAATGGTGGCACTCCTTTTCCAATATACATTTCCCTCTCTCATTTCTTGTTGCGATGAAGGGAACTGTGCTGCACGGGGGAGGGGGGGACTGTGCTTACTCATTTGCTTGAAACCCTCAGCATGGTCTTGTAAGTGCTGTCTAACTGTAAAGGTGCAGCCCTGACCACTAACCTTGCCCTTGCAGCACGCTTCAACCAAAATGGTCACATTTTGGGAATAAATGTATAAAACCAAGGTAGTTTCCATGTTTGACAGAGGAGGGACATTACTTGCAAGGACAAAGTCGTTCTTATTTAAAACAGAACACCTAGCTGATGCTAATGTCCAGCAAAACATTCACAACCTTCCAATCTCTCTTCCCAAATGATTTTATTATAATACTTGGTCAGGTTAATTTCTGCCCATTTCAGGATGCTTTTCTGTTATGAACTTTTTCTAAAGTTACTATTTGGATTTTTGTTTAAGAAAAAGCAGTCAGGGAACAGGACTTAGGGAAGGAGGGGTTGTCATCACATGACTTCAAGCTGTCTCTTTGAAAAATTTCTTTGCACTTTAAACTTTCCTTAAGCATTATGATTGTAGTGTGCTTGTAGCACTCAGCAAGAGCAGTTTTTGCATTTGAGGGAGGAAAACAGAAACTTTAAATATTTGTGAATGCCTTAAAGCTTTAGGTGAGGTATTTGGGCACTGGTTGTGCCTGCCATTTCATTTTCTTCCTGGAAAGCTGTGTGCTGAGTGTACAAAGCAGACACAAACGTCGGCAGATATTTTTCCACTGAGGATGGTGGGAGCTGCTGTTGCAGTATGCTGCTGGTCTGAGGCTGGAATTTGTATTGAACTAAACTATGCTGAGAGGCCCCGAGTCTGTGCTGACACCTTTCTCCCCCCCCACCCCAAAATGGATTTATTCACTATATTGCTCATGCTATAATGGTTTTCTTCTTTCTTTAAAGAAAGAAGCCTGGGCTTGTGTAGAGTACTCCATGAGTGTCCCGTTGCATTAAAGGAGACAAAATTCTCTGCTTGAGCACTTCCCTGCTGTACCAGCTGACATTTGCAGGCAGGAGTCAGGAGGAGTGGGAACGGAGGGGATCTGCTGCTGCCAGTAATGGCTGCTGAGATGGCTGTGAGACTTCTTGTCTCCCATCTGTCTCAAAGCTCTGCTGGATTCCTGATATCAGGCTGGCTTTTGAGTTACAGCACAAAACAAAGCTCTGCTTTGCAGGTACAACATGCTATGCTGATTTACTTTATTCAGAGATAGTGCTTGTTCAGAATAAGGTATCTCCATGAAGAGGAGTGGTAAATTATAGTGAAAGCAGCACCAGGGAAAGCTGTTCACAGTAGTATTTATTGATTTGTCAATGCTGGTAACAGCTGATCTACCTGCATGGATGCTTGACACCTGCTACAAGCAGAGCAGATAGTTGGGAGCCGTCAGCCGTCCCAGCTGGGGCGTGATCCACTCTGTACAGTGCCTTTCACTGTGCACCGCTGAGATTGCTTCCACAGTACAGACACCTTTCTCTGCTTTTCCTGTAGTGGAACAGGTTTCACTGACACCCTTCTTCCAGCATAACCAGAGGCAGAGTAATGCCCCTGAAGTCCTTGATGGGTTCTCCTGCATCTCACGGTCAGCCTTGTGGCAGGACACGTCCCTGCTCATACATGCTCTGCCAGGGAAGCAACCCAAGCCATGCTTGGGGGAAAGGAGCACACATGCACTGGTAGTGCAGCTGTTCCTACACCGCCTGCCCGGCAGCTGGGTGATGATTAATGTTTCTCACATCTTTGGGAAGAGTTGCGGAGGACCCTTTTTGGCCCAGATCAATTCCTTGCTGCTGCTCCTGAGACAATGTGCGTTCTTTTGGTCACTCTCTGCTCTGTTCCTAGCTGTGTGCACGTGACGGCTCCCTGTCACCGCCGGTTTTACAAATGACCTAAGCTGTGTGGGAGGAGGGCTCCCTGCTTCTTGGGCAGGTACCCAGTGCAGGTCTACCCAGCAGAGACTTCTGTCTTGTGAACTGCACCAGTACATCCCATCTCCACCATTGCTTCTGGTTATCAGGTGCACCAGTTTGCTTCTCCAAAGCCCTTTGTGTTTTTTATCAATCTCTTGAGACCAGATTTTAAAGGGCTGGGAGGACTTATGAAGTGTGCTACTGCTGAAACTTTTAAGAACAACTGAAGTTTGAACCTGTGAAAACATTTTTCTAGTGCCTTATGCTTGTGAACGTTTTGCAATGGATGTAGCTGATGTGGGACAGAGTACAGAGCAACTTCAGTGGTGTGGTTCCCCGTCCACTATAGCCATCTCCCTCTCCTCTCGTGGGGTCATGGCAAGCAGATGCCAACAGATCATTTCTAGCAGCGTGGTGGTGATGCTTTTCTAATCCCTTTGAGCTCTGGGGTTGTAGAAATGTTAAACTAAAGCCTTGCACTGGGTGGTCTGCATTTGAGAGGAGCGGTGGTCTCACCTCTGCTGGTTTTGGATTCAGAGGGTTTTAGGAGGGACAAAGCTGCTCTGATTGCTAGACCCCATGGTGGCGGACGTGGTCAGTTGTTCCCAAGCGCACAAGCCGGGGTGAGTTTGCTGTTCTCCACTGAGGCCATGTTGTTATGTATGCTGTATTTATATCATGCTTTATTTCGTTTAATATTTTGGTTGACTTAAATGTTGCTAGGTTTGTATATTAATAAAGAGGCATTTTAACTACCCCTGTATTTGGCAATTTGTTACAGAAGAGCCTTGTGTGTCTTTCAGGATCCAAACCCCCTGGTCATGAGGTGGATCCTGCAGGGCCTGTTGCAGGGTCCAACCTTTGGTGCTGGGAGCTGGAGCAGGCCCTGGCCCTGCTGGGTCACCCGGGGAGAGTCACTTCCCCTGCCTGTGCCGTCCCCTGCTTTCAAAATTACATCCTTCGAGAGTTTGTCTATGTCCTTCCCTGCACCCACACGGGGGCTCAGGGTTAAGGGCTGTGTGGGACCAGAGCCTCTTTTTTGAGTCGCCAGGGATGGTCAGGAGAGCTGTGGCAGATGGGGACATGCGTGCTGGGTGAGCAGTGCCATCACCTAACCATGGGCTCTGGCTGGGGGGTTTGTGGGGGGGCTCTGCTGCTGGGCACCCTGGCTGGTGTGGGACTGGGCTTGGCTCCTGCTCCAGTGGATGGATGTTAATTAGAGCTGGTGGCTGGTGTCCGGCTCAGCTGCAGCCCAAGAGCAGAGGAAAAGAGAGGGGAGAGGATGGAGACAAGAGGAGAAGAGGAAGAGGAAGAGGAAGAGGAAGAGGAAGAGGAAGAGGAAGAGGAAGAGGAAGAGGAAGAGGAAGAGGAAGAGGGGAGGAGAGCAGAAAGAGAGGAGGAGAGCATCCCATCCCATCCCATTGCATCCTCCCGACCCCAGCAACCCTCCTGCACCCTTTCCCTTCTCCCCTGACCCCCCTGACACCCAGTCTTGGGTGCAGGTGAAGATGTAGCAGGCAGGACTACTGGAAGGAAAACAAAGAGCAGTTCCGATGCATGGTTTTTATTGACTTAAAAAAAAAAAAGTTGTTTTAAGACAGTTGTGTGCAAGAGTACTCATGTACACAGAGGCTACAGGCGAAGCCACCTGCCTGCTCCAAGCCCTAGGTCAGAGCACTGCACTCCCTCTCCCTGCAGGGTGGGAGGCGATGGGTGCTCAGTAGGCACCACGTGATGAAGACTACCCCAGTCAGCGTGGGCACCTCCTCCCTGCCTGCCCCTCTGCCCGTAGCCTCTGCCTACATCTCCTCTATGTACAGTACAGTGGTGCTCGTCGGCGATGCGCCCGCGGCCCCCTCCCCGCCGGTTGTGCAGCATCCCCCTCCTGCCTGCAGCCAGCGGCCCCTCTGCTAGAGAAGCGGAAGTGGTTGTGAGTCCTAGCGGGACAGCTTAAATAAAAAATAATAATAATAATAATTAAAAAAAAAGGGGGAGGGTAGAGGAAGGAAGTTAGCCAAAAAAAAATACTGTCAGGGCAGCAAGGAGCCGTGAGCGTGCCCTTTGCCAGGTGTCAGCGGTGTTGCTGGCGGGTTTGGTACCTGGGTTTGTACCCAGCGCCTCCACTCGCCCTGTGATTGTCCGGCCAGGCCCTGCTCAGCCATCACAGGAGCTGGTCCAGCCTCGTCATGCTGGATTTGGCCTCTCCAGCCACCAGCATGGTGGCCTAGATGGTGTGACCCTGCCTCCCCCAGCAGCGCTTCCCAGCTAATTTCGAGCCGGGCACAAGGCGGGAGCAGGTGTGACTGCCAGGACTGCCAGATAAATCAGCCAAGCTCCTACCGCCGGCACGGGAGTGGGCACAGCCCAACATAGCCGACAGGAGATGGTCAAGGCACTCATTGTTGCTCATGATTTTGTGTTTTTTATTTTTCTTCCCCTAAAAAAAAAAGCAACCCAGGGAGGTGGAGGCTGGGGCTCGCTGCAACCTGCCCCCACATCCCAGGGTTTGGAATGGGGCTCGGAGCTGGCTGTGGCAGTCGCAGGTTGTGGGCAGCACTGCTTCTACCAACACCCACCACGAAACTCAGCAGTTTAAAGCCCTGTGGACAGAAAAGATTAATTTCCCCAGCCCAAGGGATGCTCAGTGCCTGCTCCAGGTGACCCAAACCCTTGTGTTTCACGATTGCAGAGAGAAACCTCAAAAAAAAAAGAAAACACAAAACCAAACTGAAGCAGAGAAACAGGTAAGAGGCTGCTACAGAAAGCCAGGTACAAAAAGGTTAAAAAAACTTCCAAGGCCCAAAAAACCTACAGTGATTGTTCCTCAAATAACTATTGCAACCAGGTGGTGCGGACAGGGCTCCCCCCGGCCTGGCTCCAGCCCCGCTGCCCCTGCCCCACTCTCGGCACCATGGGCCTTGTGCCACCGCTGTGCCGGGCACCCATCGCCATCACCGGCTGTGCAGGCAGGTGGGGGTCCCTCTCTGGGGGACCTTTTCCATGATTGCCTTTTTCTTGAACTTTCCAGTATCTCCTAAAAATAAAAAAAACCACCCACCTGATTGACCCAAAGAAAGTGGTTTTAATTACACCTCTGGGGAGGCAGTTTCCTTCTGCATCTCCCCATGCCATGGGGCAGCCTGTCCACCCCAAAAAGCCTCAGGGACCCTGAGGGCACCGGCTGTACCAGACTGGTGTAAACCAAGCCCCACCCTCACAAACGCAGCAAAGACTTTGGGATTTCAGCTTCTCACCAGAGCTGTCTGTTTATAGCAACACAAAAGCAAAAGCACGGTTCATTCACCCACTAAAGCTATCTCTAATCTGCTTTTTCCCAGCCCGAAAGTGAAGGGAAATTTCATCTCCTCCTCTCCAGCGGGGCCAGACCTGCTGCTGCATCCCTCAGCCACTGCATCCTGCATCCCTCGAGTATCCAGCGAGAGAGCCTGGACAGAGGGACTGGGCTGCTGCTTCTGCAGGTTTCTTAGCTGCCTTTTGCACAGTTGACCCCGTGATCTGTCCTACCTTTCCTCAATCCTCAGGGAGAGGAGCAGGGGTGCCTGGCCCCACAGCTGGGGTTCCTCTCCATCCCCCAGCCCGGCTGTGCCGGCAGCCTGCAGCAGAGCGTTGGTGAAGGTCGGATGGAGGCTGCTGGCTCCCCGCACTTGCGACCACGCTGGGACCTGCCTGTATGCTGGGAGCCTTCCCTGGGAAACGATGGCAGCGGCTGCCCCAGGTGGGTAAAAAAAATAAAATGAAGAAAGAAGCAGCTGGGTTCCACTGGCAAGGCTGCTTGGCCGCCACGTCTCCCTCGGCCTGGACATGACGCTTGGGCACTCCCCAAAGTCACCCAGCTTCAGGGCGGGGGGGGTTTGTCTTGTTTTAAAAAGAGCAGCATTTGGTTTGACTGTAAAGAGATGCGAGGTGGACACCCCCGCCGCCCGGTCAGTCGCTGATTGTGTTTACAAATCCTTTCTCAGCCGGATTTCTTAATAATTATAATAATAATTATAATTAAAAAAAAAGCAAAAAGTCTCCTTTAGCTCTGAACCTGATTGGCTGCTGGAGGCACCAAATATCACCGGGGGCGGCTCTGCCGGTGGCGCAGACTGCCCATCCAGCGCTCGTCGCCCGAGGCCGCTGGGGAGACCCTGGCCCTGTGCCCCACGGGCAGCTGGACCCAGCTGGCACAGGGGAACCGGAGGAGGCGCAGCCCTCAGTTCCCCCGGTAAACCTCGATCTTGCTGGTTTTGGCCAGCATGTCGATGATGTGCGCCTCAAAGTCGGCGTCATGCACCCCCGTCTTCCTGAACTCCCCAGCGTAGCGGTTGTTCTCCCAGTAGTGGTGCCAGTTGCCTCGGCTGTCGGCGCCGAACCCAAAGACGTTCACCTGCAACAGTGAGGATGGGAGTGAGCCAGCCCCGACCCCCCTACTGGGCTCGGGACCCCTTGGCTGAGCATTCACCATGCTGCCCAGGGGATCTGGCACCATGCCGAAGGCATACGTCCCTCTGCACAGTCTTTCCACCATTCAAGGTGCCCATCACCATGGTGTCAGGCAACTGGAGCAAGCAAAACTGCTGCGTTGGATGCAAAGAAGCCACCTCCCTCCTTAACCCTGCGAAGTTCAGGATCCCAGAAAACCCACCCCGCGCAGCTCATCCGGGACCCCGCAGCCAGGGGAGGACCCGAGGAGCCATCACCCACCTCATCACAGACATGGAGGGCGAAGAAGAGCACCAGCATGCCGGTGGAGGGGTAGCGCCCGTGGTGCTCCGTCCAGCGGTCATGGATGTACTTGAAGAAGGCAGGGTTGTAGATCTGCACCTGGGAGCACAGGCTGGGGTTAGTGCTGGAGTCCTGGCCACACTCCCTTTGGCATCAGCACCCCAAGAAGGAGCACCAGGATGTGCACAGAGACCCCAGGGGAAGATGGGGTGATGGGGGCCATGGCCAAATGGGTGGTTGGGATGAGCCCCCCCTTACCTTTTCTTTGTCCACTCGCAGGAAAGGTTTCACAGGTGCGTACGTGCTGGGGAAAAAAGCGGAGAGGCAGGTGAGCTCCCAGGGGTCCCACACCCCCCAGCCCCAGCCTGAGCTGCCAAGGGACTGGCGCCAGGGGATGCTCTGGGAGGGAGGAACTAATGAACCCGCACTGCTGCAGGGGGGCTGCCCCTGCAGTAGGCGAGCAGCCAGCCTGGTGCTGCCGGTGCCCACCGGGTACTTACAACCTGATCTGGCCAGTGGAGAGGGCACTGGCGATCCAGAGCAGGTCCAGGGTTTTGAAGGGCACCAACACAAAGCTGACATTGGCGGGCAGGTTCTTGGCACTCTCTGGGTACATGAAGTGGTGCGTGGTCCGACCACCCACGTCACCCTCAAAACCCACTGTGGGAGCCTGGTTCATCCTGGGGAGAGAGTGGGGAAGGTGGCACACCCCTCCCAGACACCCTGTCTCCCTTGCAAGTAACATGGGTGTCCCCTGCCAGCTGCTGAACACTGCTGAGGAGCTGAGTGCTGGTGCTCAGGGTGCTGGGAGGAGCTGAGGATCCCTCCCAGGCCAGTCCAGGGTGGCAGCAGGGCAGGACCCACTCCCACCCATCCCAGCACCTGCTGGGACCCATGATGGGCTCCTTGACCAAGAAACTGGAGCTGGGCTGTGGCATATGGCACAGAGACTGCCATGGTGCCCAGCAGGAGCCCAGCACCCACTGGTGCTGCCAGCATCACCCCATGCCTCTGCGCTGCCTGTGGGGCTGGGCGGGTGGGCAGTGCCCCCAGTAGTGGTCCCCTGACCTCACCTCATGATGAAGTCGTGCCCATCAATCTCCGGCCCGTAACCGGAGCCGCGCAGGTTGCCCGAGTTGCCGACCACGGCGCAGCGGCGGCAGTGGTGCGGGTCACGGGAGCGGTAGGGATCCTCGCCCGGCACGATCTGGAAGAGCTTGCTCAGGACCTCGTGGGTGTTGTGGGACTTGAACTGGGGCTGCAGCATCTGTGGGGGGAAAAGGAGGGGGGGCATGAGCCAGCAGCCCCCTCCTTGCCGGTGGCAGACAAAGCTGTGCCCCCCGTGCCGGGGCGCATCATGGTACTCATGGGGGCCTCATGGGGGTGGCCCATCCCCTCGCTCACCATCCACCACCTCTGGACGTCGGGCGGCAGGTCCATGTTCTCCTTGGTCCAAACCGGGGAGACAGTGCCGTCATAGCGCCCATCAAACCAGTCAGTAGCCCCGGCCTCCTCGGCCGGGCAGCGGCGGCAGGCGCAGCCCCGGGGGTACGGCCCCCCCTTGCTGAGCCGCTGCATGCCGGCATAGCCGGGCACCAGCTTCACCCGGTGGATGCCACCCAGCCCGCCGGGGTCCAGGTAGGCGATGCTGTGGTGGGAGTAGGTGAAGAGGAGGGACATGACGAAGACGAGCAGGAAGGCAGTCGAGAGGAAGCAGAAGCGCAATGAGCACTTCATGGTCGGCGGGCGGCTGAGTCAGGAAGGGCGCCCGCTCCAGCATAGGGCTCGGGCATAGGGTGCAGGATGGCGTCAGCTGGCCAGTGAGGCTCCCTGTGGGATCCAGAGCTTTACATCACTGTGCCGGGGGGCACACAGAGCCCTACCATGAGCTGCTGTGCTGGGCTCCTACCTGCCGGGCTGCAGCTTTCCATCCGCGTGGTCCAGCCGCGGCAAGGGCCTCCGGCAGCTCCACGTGCCGAGCAGAGAGCATCTGCTGCTGGCCCCGGGGCTCCAGCACAGCTCAGCACGCCGGCCTCAGCCACGGCACCATGCCTCGGCCGCTCCTCCAGGTCCTGGGCCCAGCTGGCTCTCAGCTGCGAAGGTGCTCATCGTCCTCGGGGTTTAGCCAATCCGCTGGCATGCTGCCTTCCGCCACTGGCTCAGGAATACGGCCATGGTGATACCAGCCTGGAGCAGGAAGGAGGGAACAGCAGGTTAAGGGATGGCCATGCACATGGCAAGGCCAGGGGGCTGCCACTGACCAGCAGGAGGGTCCTGGGAGCTGAGGAGTTTGTTTATTCCCCATTGAGTTTTGCAAAATGCCACCTCTGGCATGGGGCTGCGGGGGACAAGCTGTCCCCAAAGAGGGAAGAAGAGAGTTGAGATGTTGGCATTGTCCCACTTGCACCGGCCCCTCACCCGCGGCGCCAGGGGAGCTCCCAGCAGCTCCCAGGCTGTGCCCTCCCTATCTCTGCCAGACAAAGGCTCAGCCATGAACTCGCCTCCAGAGCCGAACAAGCTGCTCCTTTCTGTAGGCTCAATCCTTCTTCTCTATCAAGCCACAAGCAGCCCCTCCAAAACACTCTTCACTGGCTGCCGCTGCCGCCAAGACAGATGGGAAACAGCCGTTTCACAGCCCGACACACGCCCCGGGTACCGACGCCAGCGGCTGGCCCCCGCTGTGTGTCAGCGTCCCGCAGGGAAGGTCACCCGCTTGCTCGTGATCCCAGCGGGTAAAAATAGCCAGGGCAGAGGTGCTGGCGCCTGCGCCCAGGAAAGGACGAAAGGAGCGGCCAAGCCCCTCGAGCAGAGGAGGGGGTGCAAAGCCACAGGTCCCTCCTCAGCCAAAAAGAAATAGGCTGAAAATCCCCTTTTAACACAGCTGATGAGCTGGGGCAGGATCCATCACCCTGACAGGATGGCGACGTGACGCCCCCAGGGCTTCCCAGGGAGGGACATGCCAGGGCAGGACCATCCCAAGGCCAAATCCTGCAACAGCACTGCCTGCACAGCTCAGCCCTGGCCCCAATTAAGCCAGCGCCGAGGCTGGCAGCGCTAATTAGGAGCTGGCAGGCACCAGGATTCCTCTTTCCTACAAAAAAACCCACATCCTCCGGAAGATGCCAGCTTTCTGGGGACCGAGGCTACCAACACACCCCCAAAAAGCTCCTTGCAGGGATAGGGGAGACCTAAGCACGGAACAAAAATCCTTCCCCCCCCCCCCCC